ATCCAGGCTGTGGGCCAGTGGCCTCCGATTCCTCGCGGGCCCTCTTCTCCTTCTCGCTGGCCTCCTGTGGGACCACACGGCGGGTGAGCCCCCCATGGAACATATTTTCCCCTCGGGGGTGGGGCAGGCTGGCAGCTGGTAGCTGAGACTGGGGAGGAGCATCTGGTGACAGGAGGGTGGGTCTAATGCTGTAGGGCTCTGCAGCTCTCGCTTAGTCATGGTCTGATGCTGGGCCCGCTGGGATGGTGGCAGGGCTTTGCCATGGGGTGGCAGCAGGACGGTGGTGCAGGCTGGGTAAAGCAAGCCATCTGGGGTACGGGCCCCCCCTCCAGCCCCAACAAAGCTAGAGGCCAGCCCAGATGGCTGGATTTGCTCACCTCAGTCCCTGTGTTTTAGTTGAGCCAAGCCCCATCACCCAGGGAGATGTGTGCACCCCTAATGCAAAGAGGGTGAGCAGACCTGGGAGCGCACCAGAAGCTGTGACTTCATAGGGCTGGCATGTCTAGCAGGCTGGATTTCACTAGGATTTGGGTGCTGAGCTCCCGGGGTGGAGGAAAGCCCAAGGAATCCCAGCCGCCCTTGCTGCTGTCTGCTCTCTGACTCTCAGTCTCCCCTGCACAGTTTGAAGGAGGCTACCTGGTGTATGAGAATGAGGTGACCTTTGTGCCTGAGGGGGTCCCAGCCACATCCCCCATCATCACTCGGGACTCGTGGTACAGGTGAGGGCCAGCTCTGGGGCTGGGAGGGGTGTCCCTGCAGCCAGTGGCAACTGGCTTGAGAGCTCCAAAGTTCCCACCCACCTGGCTAAGCCAGCGTCTTCCTCTGCAGGCTGACTCTGCGCTGCCGCTACCCCTTGACAGAGACGCTCTGGGTCTCAGCCCAGCAGCAGCGAGGGGAGGAAGTGGTATCAGTGCCCCACCGACCTGTGGGTTGAGGTAAGTGATCTCCAGGCCCCGGGCACTTGCTGGGATCCGCCCACCCAATGGGCAGGCCTTCCTCGGTGCCCAGACCCCTCTGTGGCCTGGGAAGGGGGCTCCCGGACTGGGAAGGGGGCTCCCAGCCCAGGGAGCCGGGGACACGTGGGGCAGGGTATGTCTGCCTGTGCTGCACTGCAGCTGGGAGCGAGCTAGCATGCTAGAAAATCGCTGTGTGGCCATTGCAGCTCCAGCAGAGACTAGCCCCCGAGCTCAGAGCTGGTGGGTCGGGTGACGTGAGCGGAGCTCTTGTCCGAGCTGCAATGGCCACACAGCTATTTTTAGCACACTAGCGTGAGTGGATCTAGCACAAGTCTCTGCTCAGGCTGGGCAGCTCGCTCCCAGCTGCAGTGTAGACACTTCCAGAGCCCCCCTGGGGCTCTGCCCTGTTCAGGCAGGACTCCTGGAGAGTTAGGCGCACAGAGGGTTGCATTGATCCATGCCCTGGTGTTTACCTTGTAAGCCTCAGGAGGAGAGCAGTGGAAGCCCAGGCCCTTGGATCTCCGTGGCAGCAGGGGAGGCCAGTCAGGGTGTGGGCAGGTTGACTGGCCAGTCTCCTAGCCCAGCCCTAGAGCCGGCCACTTCCTTCTCCCTGCACTGGAACTCTTCACCTGCTCCGCCCCCTCACCACGACTACCAGCTCCCTGACTGCAAGGAGTCAGGAGTGACACACATTGGCTGGGCTCCCAGCATCCTCTGGGGTACAGGTCCTGCTGGGCAGGGGTGCTAAGTCTCCCATTCTGGGCTCCAAGGTGCACTCATAAAGCTAGCCCCATGTCACGGCCTGACCTTCAGCAGGCGCTCAGTAACCCGCTGCAGGGTGCAGATGGCAAAGCCCTGAGATTGGGTCCCATGGACCCCACCAGCCTGGCAGTGCCCATCACTGTGCTGCTTCCTCTCATGCAGGCGCTGCAGCCCCACTTTTGATCTGTCTCTTTCCTTGCAGGTGTGTGGGAAAGGCAGGCTTCAGGTCTAACTCAAGGTCCTTGGGCCTGGCAGCACTGGGCACCTGGCTCCCAAATTGCCGAGCTGTTAACAAAATAAACTCTCCTTGGCCCTCAGACCTGTGGCTCTGGTACCTTTTTTAATGAAGGTGAGGGGGTACCACCAGGTACCTCCCCAAGCTAGCAGGGTCATCGGGGTGTGGGCAGGTGCCTCCTAGCCATGGAGCTGGAATAGCGGCTGGATCTCCTGCTTCTAGGCCAGTCTCCAAGGGCAGGGAACTACGGGCCTCCTCCATGCTGCTCTTGGGCCAAATCTCACCTTGACTCAGTGCACCACATGGCTTGGAACACTTGGGATTCCATCTGCACAAGGGGTTAACAACTGCAAGCCACGCCAGCTCTGAGCCCACCCAGGTGGCTGAGCCAACGTCCCTGGGCTGACCAGAGCAGCCTCTACCTTGGGCTGCCCTGTACCAGGCCTGAGAAGTGCTCAGAGCTCCTCATCTAGCTCTCTCCCTTTCAACTTGACCCCAGCTATGAGGGGGCGGGGATGCAGAGTACCAGCCCTGGCTTTCCCTTAGCAGTGGGCCGGGGTACCTTCCCCAGTAGCTGCTGACAGGAGCACTTAATGCCAGCTGGGGAACAGTCAGAAGGGACCAATGCCTGATGGTGCAGGAGGAACTAAAGCTGTCCGTGTCCTGGGAAGTGCTTGGCACTGTACAAAGGCCAGGCCTCAGGGATGGCTGGGGCTGGGGAGGGGGGGTGCTCTCAACCCCTAGCTAGGTATTGAGTGCTTGCTGCAATGTGCATTTCAGAGGGCATAGCTGTAGCCTGTGCTTGGAGGTAGCAAGACTTGGAGAGTGTTGTGTGCAGTTCGCCTGGGGAACTATTTGCTTGGCCCCTGAGTAAGCACGGTGCCTTGCTAAGGCCGCTTGGCCCTCAGCCTTGGAGCTCTGATCAGCCCACCTGTCTGATGTCTCCCTGAAGCTACGTCTCCATGGTGCACCGCGGAAATGTGTAATGTACATGGAGCTCCACGGCAGTGAAAAGCACACCAAAGCTCCCCTCCCCCAGGGTGGAACTTACACATAGGGTTGCCAACTTTCTACTCCCACAAAACGGAATACCCATGCTCCGCCCCTTCTGCAAGGCCCCACCCTGCTCACTCCATTCCCCCACCCCATCACTCCCTCTCCCCACCCTCACTCACTCCCTCATTTTCACCAGGCTGGCTCAGGGGGTTGGGGTGTGGGGGGGGAGGGCTCCGGCTGGGATGCGGGCTCTGGGCTGAGGCAGTGATTTGGGATACGGGAGGGGTGAGGGCTCTGGCTGGGGGTGAGGGCTCAGGGATGGGGCCAGGGATGAAGGGTTTAGGATACGGGAGGGGGCTCTGGTCTGGGGAGTGGAGCTGATGGGTTTGGAGTATGGGAGGGGGCTCGGGGTTGGGGTGTGGGAGGGGGTAGGGGCTCTGGGCTGGGGCCAGAAATGAGGGGTTCAGGGTGCGGGAGGGGGCTCTGGGCTGGGCAGGGTGTTGGGGTGCAGGGGAGTGAGGGCTCCAGCTGGGGATGCGGGCTCTGGTGTGGGGCCAGTGAAGAGGGATTTGGGGTGCAAGAGGGGGTGCCATGCTGGGGCTGAGGGGTTCAGAGTGCAGGAGGAGGCTCCAGGCTGGGGCGGGGGTTGAGGTGCAGGAGTGTGTGAGGGCTCTGGCTGGGGGTACAGGCTCTGGGGTGGGGCTGGGGATGAAGGGTTTGGGGTATAGGAGTGGGCTCCAGGATGAGATTGAGGGGTTTGGAGGGTGGGTGGGAGATCAGGGCTCTGGCAGGGGGTTGGGGCATCGGAGGGGGTCAGGGTGCAGGCTCCGGGTGGTGCTTACCTCAGGCAGCTCCCGGAAGCAGTGGCACGTCCCCCTGCCGGCTCCTACATGGAGGCGCAGCCAGGCGACTCTGCGTGCTGCCCTGTCCGCAGGCGCCATCCTTGCAGCTCCCATTGACCGCGGTTCCCAGCCAATGGGAGCTGCGGAGCTGGCAGTTGGGGCAGGGGCAGCAGGCCGAGCCCCCTGGCTGCCCCTAGGCCTAGGAGCCGGAGGAGAGAAGTGCCGCTGCTTCCGGGAGCTCTGTGGAGCCATGGCAGGCAGGGAGCCTGCCTTAGCCCCACTGTGCCGCCACCTGGACTTCTAACAGCCCGGTCAGCAGGGCGGAGGCACAAAGGTCCCTTTTCGACCAGGTGTTCGGGTAGAAAACTGACAGCTGACAACCCTACTTACACATGCCAGTGAGAGGCTCTGGCTGGAGTGAGGCAGCAGGGAAAGGCTTCAGTATCTCCCCATACCTGCTGCCAGAGCCTTTTCCCGCTGCCCCCCGCTTCCCCGCCAGAGCCTTTCCCCGCTGCCCCCCCCACCTGCCAGAGCCTTTCCCTTCTGCCCCGCAAACAGTGGGGAGTGGGCGGGGCAGGCGTTACGTGGGGTGGGGTGGGGATAATAGGCTGTGGGGAGGGGGTGGGGGTAACAGACAGGGGTGCGGGGCAGTGTGGAGGGGGCGGAGCGGGTGTTACAGGCAGCGGGGTGGGGGTAACGGGCAGGGGGCGGGGAAGTGTGGAGTGGGCGGGACTGGTGTTACGGGCAGTGGGGAGGGATAGAGGGCGGGGTGGGGGTAATAGACGGTGGGGCGGGTGTTACGGGCAGTGGGAAGGGGGAGGGGTAACGGGCAGTGGGGGGGGCAGTGTGAAGGGGGCGGGTATTACGGGCAAGGGGTGGGGTAGGGAGCGGGGGTAATAGGCAGTGGGGAGGGGGCGGGGATAACGGACAAGGGGCGGGGCAGTGTGGAGTGGGCGGGGTGGGGGTAACGGGCAGTGGGGTGGGGTAGGAGGCGGGGTGGGGGTAACGGGCAGTGGCGAGGCGGGGTAACGGCTGTCAGGGGGAATGGGCGGGGTGCGCCGCACGCTTTGTCCGTGTCCCCGCCCGGCGCCGGGCCCCGCGCACACGCCACCCGTCCGTCATCCTCGCTCTGGTCGCGGAGGGGGCTTGGCGGCCCGGTCCCGCCCCGCCCGGAGCCAGCGCGCAGGCGCAGAGCAGCGCGGCCGGCGGGCCCGGCAGGTGCGGTGGCCCCTCGGCGTGGCCCGAGCCGTGACGGCCCCTGCTCCCCGGAGCTGCCATGGAGCGGAGGCTCCGCTGGGACCTAGCCAGGGCCTGCTGCTCCCTGCTGGCCGCGCTCTGCGCCCTGCGCTGGGCCGCCGCCGAAGCCAGCAGCGGCCGGGTAGGTGCTGACCGAGCGGGCCTGAGGCCATCGAGCGGCGTGAGGGAGCAGGGAGCGGCGCTGCCCCTCGCCGGCCGGGGGAGAGTGCGCCCCGGGGGGAACCGGCGCCCCCGTCCCTCGGCGGGGGGACTTAGCCCCCGGGGGGGGGGGGGGCGCTGGCCCCTGTCGCGCCCCCCTCCCTCGCCCGTCTGGGGGACAGGATGGGGGTGTTGCTATGATGCCAGTAGGCGCTAGTGGGGGCACTGGCTGGGCGGTTCTGTGCCCGGGGGTCCGGGAACTGCGGTGGCTAATGGGCTCTGTCAACATTTTTGAATCTGCTCTGGAAAAGTTGGTGTTTCCTTCATGGGAAGAAATGGAGAAAGAATTAATGGGAAAAAAGGTGATTTTTTTCACCCCCCCCCCATGTGATTTACTTTGTGCAGGTAGTAGCTTGAAGGTATTTTAGCACAGAATGTGAGGAATTGGGGGTAATTTCTCAGCTAGTTAAGTATTATAGGTCATTACTGCTTTCATTGTCCATGGGAAATATTTGCATTTCTCTATTTTTGTAGGTTCAAAGGATATGTGGGTATAGGAGAATGTATTTTAGAGCAGTGGTTCTCAACCAGGGGTATGTGCATTGCTGGGAGTACACAGAAGTCTTCCAGGAGGTACATCAACTCCTCTAGATATTTGCCTAGATTTACAACAGGCTACACGAAAAGCACTAGCAAAGTCAGTACAAACTAACATTTCATGCGGACAATGACTTGTTTATACTGCTCTATATACTATACACTGAAATGTAAGTACACTATTTATATTCCAATTGCTTTATTTTATAATTATATGGCAAAAAGAAGAAAGTCAGCAATTTTTCAGTAACTGTGTTGTGACACTTTTATATTTTTATCTGATTTTGTAAGCAAGTAGTTTCTAAGTGAGGTGAAACTTGGGGGTATGCAAGACAAAGCCGACTCTTGAAAGAGGTACAGTGGTCTGGAAACTTGAGCCACTGTTTCAGAGAATAGCTAGAGAGACAAGGTGGGTGAAGTAATGTCTTTTGTTGGACCAACATTGCATAGAACAGAGGATAACTGTTTTTTGCAAAAACGAGGAGTCCTTGTGGCACCTTAGAGACTAACAAATTTATTTGGGTATAAGCTTTCGTGAAGTGGGTTTTAGCCCACAAAAGCTTATGCCCAAATAAATTTGTTAGTCTCTAAGGTGCCACAAGGACTCCTCGTTGTTTTTGCTGATACAGACTAACACGGCTACCACTCTGAAACCTTTCGCGCCCCCTCCCCCAAACATTTTGCTAATGAGAGGACAATTTTTCAAGTGCCCAGCACACACAGTTGAAGTTAGTAGCTCCTGACACTTTGCACTCTTTTGAACATCTGATTGCTTATTTAGGGGACTAGGTGGAAGAAGAGTTTTTTTGCACTTTCTCCCATTCTGGCCCTGTATGCTCGTGAGGAAGAACTTCTTCATAAAATATCCACAAAGTCACCTATTAGCCTCTTTTAATTCTGTCCTTAAAGCTCATCTTTGCCAGGAAAACTACAAAAAAGTCAAGAAAAAACTGCTGTGCTCAAACAGCTGCTTATCATGTTGATCATACTTGTCTTATTTTCTTGTATTAGCCTCCTTTGTTTGTATCTACCTGTGATCTTTCATCTTAGATTCAATTTTATGTAGCTCTCTGGGCTAGGGACCATCTCTTCAGTTAGCTGTTTGTGCAGTGCCCAGTATAATAAATAAAGGATCTCTAGTGTTGCCACAACGTAAGCAGTAAATAATAATAAAAGCACCCTAATCTCTCACTACTCCATTGATTTACAGGCATGTCTAGGGTGACCAGACAGCAAATGTGAAAAATCGTGACGGAGATGGGGGGTAATAGGAGCCTATATAAGAAAAAGACCCAAAAACACGGACTGTCCCTATAAAATCGGGACATCTGGTCACCCTAGGCATGTCCCTTTTTGTCAATTATTGGCTGTTTCTCCCCTCTGTTTTCATTGAAGCCATTAGGTGTTCCCTCAGTTACAGACTAAGAGCTTTTTCTTCCCGGCCCCCGTTATGGTCTGTGACTGCATTCTCCCTGATTGTCTCCTACCTCGTCTTTATCCACCAGTGTTTGCTGTAGTCTGTGGACATTCTTTATGGTTTGGGGAAGACTTGGAAAGTACTTGCATCACAGCAGATCTCTTTGGCTTTTAATGGGACCATACAGGTTTGGTGTACTTGTAATAGCATTGCAGGTCAGTGTACAGAGAGGGGTGCTGGAGTAGAAATCTGGGTCTTGTGTGCTTTTTGAAATCATGCTGTAAACCTATATAGAACTGAATATAATGTGATGGGAATTGGGCAAGAACCTTTCCTGAGTTTCGGGGCTTGGTCATTCTGTGGTGTGGAGAAGATGGATATCCCCACACTGTGCTGTTTGTTGGGTGGAGGGGGAATGTATATATGGGGCTGGAGCCTGCAGCAGCAGGGAGTAGAGCAGGGTCTCCTGTGTTGAGATGGAGGCTGGTGTTGGGGTAGGTTGTAGGGTTATAAAATGACACCCATTGAGGGATGTGGAATGGTGCATATGCCTCTGTATTTGTATGGGGAGAATAAACCAGTACAGGATGGGAGAACTGCATGTTCCTACAGTGTTGAAAGGGATTGGTGTGGAATGGGAGATGCCTGCTGGGTATTGAGCACAGGATATGGGAAACCAGGGTTCCTGGTTGGCACAGGCTGGAAGAGACAAGGGATGCCACTATGGGGGGGGGGGGGGGGGGAAGGTGGGTGGGGTGGTTTTTTTTGGTTTTTGTTTTTTTTTAAGGCTGGGAGAGAGCAAGACCATAGACAATGTCATAGATGGTGGAGCAAGGTGTGATTCCCTGCATTGTGAAACATTGAAGGGAGTTCTTGGGATACAGTTGCCAGTAGTTCAAGGCTTTAGGGAAGCTTGGGAGTGTGTTATATCATGGTGGGTAGAGAGTTCAGGATGAAGTTGCTTGTCTGACTTGGGTTGGGGGAATATAATGTTATTATGTAGGTTGGCACAATGTAAGCTGGTGGCATCTGGGAGCTGTATAGTCTGGAGAATGTTTAGGGACCCCTCACTGGGGCTGTTCAGGAAGGACTGAATCTCTGCAGAGGAGATTGGGGCAAGGGTGTTCTTGCATCATCAGAGTAAGGTCAGTGTGGAGTAGGGTAAGCTGGGGGCCTTTAGTAATGGGGTTGGGTTGGTGAGCTTTATTTCAGAGGGTGACAGGATGAAGAGATGGGGACCACAGATGCTGACTTATTGTTCCCGGTGGGTGCTCCACCCAAAGTCCTGCCCCCACTCCACCCCTTCCCCTGAGGCCCACTGCTTGTTGCTCTCTGCCCTCCCCTGAGCGCCTCCCACCAGCTGCTGAACAGCTGTTTGGTGGGGCCACCAAACGGTTGTGGCTGGTGGGTGCTGAGCACCTCCTATTTTTTTTCCCATGGGTGCTTGATCTCTGGAGTACCATGGAGTTGGCACCTATGCTGGTTACTGTTTCAGCGATTCAGTATGTGGGGTAAAGATAGTGGGGATGTGCCATTCTTGCAGGAGACAGGTGAAGTGTCTACTGGCTGATAGGTAGGACAAATTTGCACTCTGCTTCTTATGGCCTCTAGGAAGCAGTGAATAGCCATACTGTAGTGCACTGCAGCCATGCCCCAACACTGGGGCTAGGGGCAGGGCTGGGCGTAGAGTCCTTATCCCTTCTCTGCACCAACTGGAAAGTCCTCTGCACATAGAAAATTCTCAGTACAGAGAATGTTTCTGTTGCATGACAGGTCCTTAGTGTAAGTGAGAGTTGGGGGCCTTTAAAAGTTTAGTATCTTCCTTAGTTTTAGTTGGAATAGAAAGTATTTTGTCCATAAGGAGATATATCAACTTTATTCCAAATACGGAAGAGAAATATTTATTGAACACTTGTCTTTTCTGCGTCATTGTCCGCTTTGCCATCTATACCATTGTCAGGACTCCTTTTGTTCCTGATGTATTTAAAACAAAATTCTTCTTTATCCTATTGGCCCTGGACACTTCCTTTAAATCTTTAGCAGGCCTTATCAATTTCCTACATTTCTTAACTTGTATTTTATATTCATATTTGCCTCCCCTTTTTTCCATTTGTTATCAGTCTGCAGCTTTCATATTCTGTCTTAGCCCAAGATGGTTTTTAACTGAAGTAAAAAAAAAAAAAAAAATCATGATGGAGAAACTGACTCTAAGAACATCTACTAAAGTGTTCTTAAACAACTCCCTATGTTTGTTCACACTTTTTCTATTTAATTTTTTTCTATGCCAATTTTGTTAATTACTTTTAGCTTTGAGAAACTGGCCCATGTAAAGCACAGTGTCACTTAGATGCTGTGACGGGTTGGATCACAGAAACCCCCTTGGGAACTGCCAACTGATGTGCCAAGACTACTTCTGCCCCTGCTTTCCCTGCCAGCTTGGGACTCCAGCACCCTGTCTTGCTGAGCCAGACATGCCAGTCTGCTCCAACACAGACCCAGGATCTGAACCACCTGCCCCAAAGCTGCAGACTTAACTGAAAGCAACTTGAGAAGTGTTCCTGTCTTTAACACTCAGATGCTCAACTCCCAATGGGGTCCAAACCCCAAATAAATCCGTTTTACCCTGGATAAAGCTTATACAGGGTAAACTCATAAATTGTTCGCCCTCTATAACACTGATAGAGATGCACAGCTGTTTGGCTCCCCCGCCACGGGTATTAATGCATACTCTGGGTTAATTAATCAGTAACAAGTGATTTTATTAAGTACAGAAAGTAGGAATTAAGTGGTTCCAAATAACAGCAGATAGAACAAAGTGAATTACCAAGCAAAATAAAATAGAACATGCAAGTCTGAGTCTAATACAGTAAGAAAATTGAATACTGATAAAATCTCACCCTCTGAGGAATTCCAGTAATCTCCCTTTTACAGACTAGTCTCCTTCTAGTCTGGGTCCAGCAATCACTTGCACCCCCTGTAGTTCCTGTCCTTTGTTCCAGTTTCTCTCAGGTATCCTTGGGGGTGGAGAGGCTATCTCTTAAGCCAACTGAAGACAAAATGGAGGGGGTCTCCCAGGGGTTTAAATAGACTTTCTCTTGTGTGTGGAGACCCCCTTCTCTCTCCTATGCAAAGTTCAGCTGCAAGATGGAGTTTTGGAGTCACATGGGCAAATCACATGTCCATGCATGACTCAGAGCTTACATCTAGCAGCCATGGTTCACGTGCTGCCTTGAACGTCCTCAAGTAGACTACTTATGTGGATTGGAGCCTTCCAAGATCCATTGTCCATTAAGTGCTTCTTGATTGGGCACTTAACTTGCACATTCCTTTCTCAAGAAGGTGACCAAATGCTTTACTAAGGCTACTTAGAAATCAAGCAAGTACACAGCCAATATTCATAACTTCGAACACAAAAATGACACATGCATACAAATAGGAGGAATAGATTAGTAGATCATAACCTTTACCTAGATATGTTTCATGGCATATGTAGCATAAAACATATTCCAGTTATGTCATATGTACATTCATAAGCATATTTCCATAAAGTCCTATGGAGTACACCGTCACAGATGCTTTAGAAAATGTTACCTTAAATCTAGTCACTGAAGTGTCAAGACGGTTGTTACTTTTGCTTTAAGTGCAAATCACAATGCATCTTTAGCTAAGGAGTTGCTACCAATGTATCCATAGCAAGCAAGACATGCTAACAAGTCACTTGTGTGCTAAGGGGCTAAATTTGCAACAAATATTATTCATAATGAATAATTCACCATCACTAATGGAAAGTTTGCATAGTGCTTGCCCTCAAAATAGTTGGGTTTTAACGAGTGCAATTAACCCATTACTCTCATGACACAAATTCACTATCTTCAGCCAAAACAAGAAAAAATGAAGAGGAAAAGAGGCAATGAATTTCTACAATTCAGTGGTGTCATAAAAATGTTTCCAATACTTTAAAGGAACAATTTTTTTATATATAAACTTCAAAACTGACTACATTATAATTAATGCTTTCTATTTCTCATGTTTTTCAGAGTTGGCTAAAAGCATACGGCTATTTGCTTCCCTCTGAAAGCCGAATGTCTGCCCTGCACTCAGGAAAAGCTATGCAGTCTGCAGTTGCCACTATGCAACAATTTTATGGGATCCCAGTAACAGGAATGTTGGATCAGACAACTATTGAGTAAGATTTACAAAGGTTATTTTGTGTTTATCTTCTAGACATATCTTAATATAACATTCTCTGTGCCAAAATCCTCTGTGATTAAATAGTTATATGTGACAGATGTTTGCTTGAAATAGGATTCCCCAGGGGAATCTAGAAAAAATCTAGAATCTAGAGAAAATATCTATCCTCTGTACTAAAATCCTTTAAGTCCCAAGGAGGAATGGGAAGGTAGAAACCAACTGCAGGGTGTGTTTTGCAGGGTTGTGCTTTTTCTCTTGTTAGAGGCCTTTGTCCTGAATTAATAGGTATTGTTGGAGTTCTCTTGGATTTCAGAGAAGTCACAATGTTAGCTGCTTCGAGACTCCATTTTGAGTCAGGTGGAGTATTCTGATTCACCTATGGTCTGAGTTGAGATTTGCCTCAGTTTGGGAGATGAATCTATGCAGAAGCCTGCTCCAGCCTCATGGGCTTACATTCACTCTAAATTCTAACTTAGCTTATTCCAGTTTGCAGAGTTGGAAGCCTGAGGGCCACAATCAGGAGCTTTTCTATCCTTTCTAGGAGAGTTTACAAAGGGATATTTCCTGTGAATCTCTTATGGGAAGTTGTGTAATTTATTTAACTTGTATGTGGGATCTTAATGTAAAAAATATACTTTTCTAGATTTGTAACAGAATCCTGAGTGTCTTCTGCTTCCACCCCCCCCCCCCACACCCCCGCGCACTTAATCTATGCCATAGCCCACATGTAATGAACGCTGTCTGACAAAAATAAGCCTGTCCCTTTCCAGCAGGCTTTGGAAACTACACTCTCTATCTCAATGGGAGGCAGCCGTCTTACAAACTACCTCCTCTCTTATTCTTGTTCACTGCCAAGCTCCAGTCTAGCTGAGAGTCCTTCCTCCATGACTGCCATATAGACCTATGCAAATTACTCTAGAAGGGCTCACAGCATGAGTGGGAGAAAACAAAATCACCTCCTCACTGGTGTCCCAGCACTTGGGAACAAAACAGGAGAAAACAAACCCTTGCATATTAAGGTATAGATGTGGAGGGTGGTTTTTGAGATAACAACCTGAGGATAGTGGGCTTCCTGGAGGAGGTTCAGCATGAAAAACCCACTGAATTTTTACAAAGGGTGTTGCCAGATCTTTTGCACCTCCCCAAAGATCTATGGTTGGATACGAGTGTGCACACCACTTAAATATCACAGAGGGAAACAAAACAAATAGTAACAGAATTGTAGATCACAATATTGTGTGTAGATCTGTATTGCTTTGTTGAGATGTTATTCGGCAAAGAAGAACCAGGACTATTTTTTTTATTTGGGTCCCCTGCTCCTCCTCTTGTAGGTCTGTCAACTCGACAGTGACTGACTGTGTTAATGCACAGAATTTTTACTAGGGACTAAAATAAAGACTTTCTATGCAATCAAGAAGCCTATAACAGTAAACAAGGGAAATTGTGTAATTCAGAACTTTGTGCAGATAAATTTTTTAATTTTGAGCTGTCCAGTGTGAGACAATATAAGGAAGCCTTAAGAGACAGAACTTGTTCTCTTTACATAGGAGTTTCAGGAAGGGGTATAAGAGTAACACAGGAAGCAAGAATGGGATTGGGGTGCCACAGAGCTGAAGCATGACTATGATGTCTAGAGATCCCAGTAAAAGATCAAGGCCCTGTTGTGCTGCATGCCGTACAGACAACTAAGCAAATTACATCTTCTGTCACCTTCACGTCAGACTTCACCATGAGGCATTCCCTGTCTCCATAGCAACTGGAGACAGACCAGATCATTGCTCTATGTAGGAGTTTAGGGCCGCCCTCCAGGAAGAACTCTCCAGAATTGTCTGTCTCAAGCCTCTCTCAGACCGCAGACCCTAAGGGCTCCCTTTGGAGCAGAACTTTTCACAAGATTTGAAAAATATTTTAAACTAAATTTCTCCCCGGACCTGCCTGCATTGCCGACTATGAGGATGTGACTTGCAGGGCCTGCTAAAATATTGTGTGTGAACTGCCCAATGTAGACCCTGCTAGCGTGAATTGAAAGTTACCTAGTTTGTGTTAATGTAGTCAGTCCCCCTGAATCATGGAGGAAAGCAAGGACCACCTCCCGCCCCAAAAGCAGCCAGGAGAAAGAGATCCCTCCTCCCAGCCAGCAAGTAGGCAAGTGCCATGCAGAGATATGTTGTTAGCCAGGATGAGCAGGAATGGTGTCCCTAGCATCTGTTTGCCAGAAGCTGGGAATGGGCAACAGGGGATGGATCACTTGATGATTACCTCTTCTGTTTATTCCCTCTGAAGCACCTGGCATTGGGCACTGTTGGAAGACAGGATACTGGGCTCGATGAATCTTTGGTCTGGCCCAATATGGCCGTTATGTTCTTAAGTTGTTTGCCCTCAGTGCCAGGTCATCCTGCAGGTCTTCGGAAATTATTGCGTCATTTGTTTCCAACAGCAACAGCCCTGGGCCTCTCCTCATTCTGTGCAGTCAGTCTCCATGCAGCAGGGAGAAGATTCAGGGTGATTCACATCCCCTTCCCCAAGTAAAGCTTCGTTTTCCTTTTCCAGTTTCCAAGAGGCCCACAGAAGGTTATAAAGTGGCTGCTCTTTTCTTTATGTGCCGGGTACAAGCCTATCCTTTCAGTCTCTCTGGTAATGCTCCCATGGTGTTGCCAGTTCTCATGATTTTATTGAGAATCTTGCAACTTTTGGTGTATTTCTTAAAGCTCAAGCTGCTAGAATCAAGATATTGCATGAGAATCTCAGCTTTAATTTAAAATAATTATCTAGCCTTCATAATTGTGGGGAAAAGCTTGGGAACATAAAGCAAGTGCCACCTTAAGGCTCAGAAACCAGAAAGCAAAGAACCACCTCAAACTTCTTGTTACCCCAAAAATCATGAGGTTGGTTTGACTCATTTTTAAACACTTGAGATTAGCAAAACTGCTCCTCATAAGGTCTCGCCCCATCTCACAGTCCCCCACCTTGGGTAGGTAAAGGAGAATTATTGTTGACAGAGGTAATACAAATCTTAGTTCTCTTGTAAAATCAAACTATTCTATTGCCTTCAAAGCTCCCCTTGAAGTCTTAAAATCTACTGCAATACTCCTCTCTTAAAGAGCACCTTAAAGTTGAGGCTTTGAACAAGATACTTCAGATTATCAACTAACGCTATGTCTACACTGCAAACCTTACAGCAGCACAGCTGTACCGTCTCCTGTGTAGCCGCTATATGCTGGCGGGAGTGAGCTCTCCTGCTGGCATAATTAAACCACCCCCAACGAGAGGCAGTAGCTATATTGGTGAGAGTGTGTCCTGTTGACGCCAGCGCTTTTGTTGGTGAAACTTTTGTTGGTGAGGGGTGTGTTTTTTCACACCCCTGACTGACAAAAGTGCTAGTGTAGACATAGCCTAATTTTTTTTCAGAGTTAAGTGTAAATGGGGATCTAACTTTGCAGGCTAGATCTCTTTGGGAGAGAGGCATATTGGTCGGTGATATTGCAGTTAGTCTCAAACTAACCAAGCTGTCATGGCTAAATATGATTTCATTAATTTTGGGAAACCCCATTCATTTGTGGAACATTTACCAGAAACAGAAAAGAAGCAGTTTCAGGCCATTGACAGCAAGCTCTCCAAAGGAAAGCTGTGGAACCTTGGCTTGGGAGAAAAGCTGACAAAGGGATCCTGTGGCTCTCAGTCTTTTTATGACAATGACCACATAAGCTTCTGCTTGGAGCAGGATTTTCCATTTCCTGGAGGACTGGGTTGCTTTGACTACAGACCAAAAACAACAAGGAGTCTGGTGGCACCTTAAAGACTAACAGATTTATTTGGGCATAAGCTTTCGTGGGTAAAAACCTCACTT